GGTGTCTCAGTCGGTTGAGCCTCTGCCTCCTGGTTTCAGCTCAGGTCATGGTCTCGGTGAGATCAAGCCCTGCCTCAGGCTCTGTGCTGGGCGTGGAGCCTGTGTAGGATTCTCTCTCCCCCTCTCTGCACTTGTGCTCTCTCTCTCTCAAATAAATAAATAAAATCCTTATTTTAAAAAAGAACTATTGGTATATACAATATAATGGATGAATCTCAAATTATGCCGAGTCACAGAACCCAGACATACTGTACTCTTTTGCACCGTACAGATGAGTACTTACTTTATAACCCTATTTACGTGAAGTTCTAGACAATGTCACCTAACTGTAGTGAACCAATGCAGACTGATGGTTAGCTTGAGGGTAGGGAAGGAGGCATCACGCAGGGCACAGGAACCTTTAGGGGTGATGGGCGTGTTCACTCTCTGGATTGTGGTGATGGCTTCCTGGGCATCACGAATGTCAAAACTTAGCAAATTTCACACTCAAATATGTGCAGTTTATTGTATGTAAATTATACCTCAATAAAATTATTTTTTTTAAGTTAAAATCCCATAGTCTGTGTAAAACATACTGCTTGGCATATAATAGGTACTCATTAAAAGTTGGCTCTTACTTTCTTATTTTTGAGGGCTTACTGTCACCAGGCCAAGGCCTCAAAGGGGACTACATGGCTTCAGGAAAGGGGGCCCAGCATCCCCTGATGATCCATCCTCCCAGGGCAGGAAGGGCTGCGCTCTGTCCGCTTCCAGTGGAGTCCTGATGCCCTCAGGTGGCCCCCAGCGGTACAGCAGGCCGCCTTCTCTCCTTGCGCACCTCTTCCTGCTCGTGCCCCTGTTCCCCACTCCGTGGGATGTGTGTCTGACTGCCCATCTGTCCATCTGGTCCCTGGCCCAGGTCTCCCCCATGATGTAACATCTCTGTGGAGCATGTCCTGATGCTGTAGAGCTCGGCCTGGTTCCCTCATCTTACAGCGGACTTCCCTCCACTGCCCCCTACAAGGAGGTCCTCCGTGACTGGGTGGGAGAGGAGGAAGTGAGGGCCTCAGGGTGGAGCTCAGTCCTCCTCAGGGAAGACCCTTCCCTCCATCACCCTGGTCTACCTGCTCCCTCCTCACAGCCTCAGAGCTGGCCTCCCTGCCTCCCTGCAAGCTCTGTATTCTCTTCTCCCAGCGCAGCCTGGGCAACTGTTGAAAAGCTCTTGCCCCAAACCCTCCGAACTTCTCACCTTGCAGGGCTCCAGCCCCACGTGGGACTGTGCTGCTGTGTCTCAGTAGACAGACCCACCACGCGTGCCCCCGAGCCTTGACGTGGCACTGGGCCAACTAGGTGTCCACATGGAAACAAAAAGTGTGACGGGACCCCCATCACCCACCATCCACGAAAATCCACACCGGTGGGTTGCAGATCCAATAGGAAAGGTAAAACCACAAAGCTTTAAACAAATGTGCAAGGGTATCTTTACAAAATCTTTCTGACTTTGGGGCAGGCAAAGAGTTCTTTAAAAGAACAGAAAAGGTGAGGGGCGCCGGGATGGTGTAGTTGGTTGAGCCTCTGACTCTTGATTTCGGTTCAGGTCATGATCTCAGGGTGGTGAGATGGAGCCCCGCATCAGGCTCCGCGCTCAGCACATAGTCTGCTTGAGATTCTCTCCCTCTGCCTCTCCCGACTCGCACGTGCTCTCTCACTCAAGTAAATAAATCAATCTTTAAAAATAAATGAAATAAATCTTTTTTAAAAAGAACAGAAAAGATGATAATGTAAAGGAAGTTGTTGATAACCTGGACTATATTAAAATTTTTTAAATTTCTGTTTATCGGGGCACTTGGGTGGCTCAGATGGTTAAGCGTCTGCCTTCAGCTCGGGTCATGAGCCCAGGGTCCTGGGATCGAGCCCCATGTCGGGCTCCTTGCTCAGCAGGGAGTCTGCTTCTCCCTCTCCCTCTGCTGCTCCTCCTGCTTGTGCTCTCTTGCTCTGTCAAATGAATAAATAAAATCTTTAATAATAAAAATAAAATAAAATTTGTTTATCAAAAGGCACTGTGAAGAGAGTGACAAGACAAAACTGAGGGAGAAGATATTAATCGCACAGACATCAATAAATAATTCTTATCCAGAATGCACAAGCCCTATAAATCAATAAGGAAAAGGCACATAAAAGCATCAGAAGCATCAAGAAGACACACACCTTCACAGAAAAAGAAATGCCAGTGGCCAACTCCAAAGGAAACGTGAATTAAAACCGCAGTGTGACACCACTGTGGAGCCTCCAGAACTCGAGGTGACAATGACCGTCGATGAGGATGTGCAGACGACCCGAGTGTGTCCTGCTGTCAGAGCGAGTGCACGGCCGCTCAGGAAAACTGCTGAGCAAGCACACCCACTGACCTCTCCAAAACCAAGGACACGGGTTTTCCAAAAGAAATGTTCTGGCATGTTCACAGCATCATTATTTATAATGGCTGCAAAGTGGAACAACCCAGATTTCCATCCACAGAAAAATGGTGCAGGGATGTGTACGTTCACACGTGGGACCACTCTTGGTGGTGACGCTGACCAGCACAGCCCCTGAGGTGTCCGACTCCAAAGCATGCTGAGGCTCAAAGGAGGCCGACTATGAGATCGTAGAAAATACACATATTGGTTTCTGCCCTGTTCCTGGCACAGAGCTATTGAAACCCTTGTAAATTCCTAAGTGATAAGAGTGCCAGGACCATCTTTTGTTCTAATGAGGCAACTCCGGGGAGGCTTTTGGTTGGGGATGGTCATCAGGAAGACCAGCCATGATTAGAAGCTTGCAATTTTCAACCCCAGCCCCCCATCTTCCAGAGAGGAGAGAGGGGCTGGAAGTGGAGTTAATGGTCCATCATGCTTATGTGAGGAAGCCTCCATAAAATCCCAGTAGTATGGGGTTCAGAGAGCTTCCAGGTTGGTGAACACATGGAGGTGCAGGGAGAGTGTCACCCTGGACAGGGTATGGAAGCTCCATGCCCTTCCCACATACCTCACCCTATCCATCTCCCTTATCTGGCTGTTCATCTGTACCCTTTATCACACCCTCTTACAATAAACTGGTAAACGTAAGTAAGCGTTTCCCTGACCTCTGAGAGCCACTCTGGTAAATTAATCGAATCCAAGATGGAGGGGTCATGGGAAACTCTGGTTTGTAGCCAAGTTGGACAGAAGTTGCCAGTACCCTGAGGACCTGCTGCTTGTGACTGGCATCTGAAGGGGGGCAGTCCTGTGGGACTGAGCACTCACCTGTGTCTCCAGGTAAAGGGTGTCAGACTTGAGTGAAACTGTAGGACACCCAGCTGGTGTCAGAGACACAGAAGTGAACGTTTGGTGTGGGCAGTACCGGAGACTCACGGGAGACCACAATAAGGGGACTAGAACAGAAAGTTTCTTAGGGTCCAGTTCCACTTGTATAAAGCTCACTACAGGCCAGGCTGGCTTGTGCACGGTGGCCAGGGGGCAGACGCCCGCAGGCGGGGTCCTTTGCGGGTGGGGTCCGGCAGCAGCTACATGCTTCCCGCATGTGTGCTATGCTGGCTCGTTTACCGGGAATCAAAGCGTCCCAGCCTCTCTCATCCTTTGTGAAGCTGCTTCCACCATCATCACGCTCACAGCCTTGGCCCTTGTTGTCTCCCACCCTCTCAGGCCCTCCAAGGCCCTGTTCTCAGAGAAGAGTCTCCGGCCCATCCAGGGCACCCCTTCTCACCACAATATTCCCTTCTTACGTTATGTTGCTGTCAGAAATGATCTCACTGACCTGTTTGTTTAGATGTTTGCTGTCTGGCTCCCCGACTCCCTCTTCATGTCCCCTAGCCTGGAAGCCACAGGCGTGGGTGTCACAGGGACCTGCATGGGGATGGGCAATGTCAGCCTGGAGAAGGGCTAAGAGTAGGGGCTTTGGGACCCAGCTCTGCCATTTGCCAGCTGTGTGGTCGTGTGCAAGTCATTCACCCTCTCTGTGCCCCACCAAGCTCAACTGTGAAAAAGTCCTCTTTGTGCCCCCTCTCAGGATGGACAAGTTTTAGGAAAAGTGCTCATGAGGGCCTGGAATGGGAGGTGTTATTCTGGAGGCCCGTTTCTGAGGCCCTGTCAACCCTGCCTGCCTACTCTTGGTGACTGGTTCAGCTGGGGGTGGCAGCGCCAGGCTCCCTTTCTTGGAGGATCAGACTTTGTGCTGCCACCTGCCTCTTGGGCCCGTCTACAGGAGCCTAGGTCAGGAGAGGTGCTGGTGGGGTGTAACCCATTTTCCACCCCTGAACCCTCCCAACCCTCTCTAGAGGCCCAAGGCCCATACTCCTTGGGGTTCCTGCCACCAAGAGCCCTCAGTGACCCCACTTGTCCCTTGAGCCCCACTGGCAGGTTCAGCCGTGCTGCCGGGGAAGGGGCCAGTGAGCATTCTGAGGCCAGAGGAGAGAGGTACAAGCCTTGCTCCCCTATTCCACCCCTGGTCAGCAGCAGCCCACCTCCAAAGGACCTCTAGGAACGTTCTGGAATGGTGATTTCCCACTTAACACTCTGCAACGCTTTATATTCCACACAGGTAACAAGGTAAAGCCCTAAGACCCGGAAGGGCATCGGTTGATGGGGGGTGGAAGGTGGAGTTGCTAGCACAGGGCCTGAGGTTTTGCAGCGGGTGGGGCCACTTTAAGAGGGAAGATCAGCCTGGGCCAGGAGATGAAGTGCACAGTGGCCTTCAGCCTGGGAAAAGGAGGCCCGTGCAGGACTGATCGCAGGTCAGCATTCTCTGGCCAGCATCTGACCTGATCAGGATGGCGTCCCTCACAGAGCTGGAGGCTCCCCAAATGCCATCTATTTGTGTCCTGGACCCTGACTGCTGGCAGGAGACATGTGACCACAGGGACGGGGTATTTTTGGCAGTGGGGGTGGGGCCTGCGTGGTGAGCCCAGCACCATGCTGCTCTGGGACAGGCAGCTCGGACGCCCAGCTCCATTGCCCTGGCTGGCCACAGGGTCCCAGGTACGACACTGTTAGTCCCTCATTCCCACCCTAAGGAGTCCCAAAGTCAGACAGAGGGACTTCCCCAAGGGCCAGTGAGGAGGGCAAATTTCAGGGGTCCGGAAGGCACAGTGCTCTGGTCTCAAGGCATCTTCATCTCAGCACTGGCCTGGCCAGAGTGACCTCCCACCTCCCTGGGTGTAGTGGTAGCTGACCAAAGGCCAAAGAGCTCTTCCCATAGGAGGCCAAGACACTAGGGGCTCTCAAGCAGTTAGGGTCACCTCTGTTCACTGAGAAGAGGCAGAAGCAGGGAGCTCTGCCAGCCGGGCAGGCCTGGGTGAGGGGCAGAGACCTTGAGGATGGCCCTAGTGGTCCACCGGGAGTTAGGAGGCTCATTTCTGTTCTGTGACTTCCTGCCTAGGCAGGGGGCAGAGCCAGGCACTCCCTGCTGACCCCTGAGAGGGCTCTAGCCAGCACTAGTGTGACCTTGATGATCTCAGTGGAAGCCCAGAAGCCTGTCCCAGCCAAGGCTGGTGGAAGGTCATCAGCAAAGGTTGGTCACCTGCTGGACACTGTGGCCCCTCCATGACCTGCTGCCACCTGAGGCGTGCTGGGATAGACCAGGGCTGACCATCGCCCAGGTGAGCTGACTCCCAGTGAGTGACCCTTGAAATGGGCTTTGCTGTATAAAGTTTACCCTGGTGCCTGCAATTCTGGAGGAAGGTTGGAGAAGGCGGAGCTGACCCAGTGGAACAGAAAAGGCTCAAAGATGTGAAGAAAACCGCTTCTGGGGACAAAATTTTAAACAGGAGGAACCCCTATTTTTTAGTGTACGTCATTAATCTAAGCCATATTTGATTCTAGGAATCTAACAATGTATCATTACAAGTTTATTATTTGGGGTCAGTTTGGAAATAGGATAAGTGGGAGTTACAGGTTTTCTAACTTGGAGGAAGGGTCGGTTCTGACAGCCACTCAGCTTCCTTCAGGTTTCCCCGTTTTGCTTTCTTTCAGGAAGCACATGGAGTGCTGGCCCCCGAGCCAAGGAGGTGGGGGGCACCCCAGCGATTGTATGCCGGCTGGTGCCCGGGACCTGGGTCCACGAAGACCCCGCCTGGCCTCAAGCTCTGCTGCTCAAGTCCTCTGCTGACCTGAAATGGAAAACTTCCAGTACAGCATCCAGCTGAGTGACCAGGACTGGGCTGAGTTTTCGGCTGCAACGGAGGAGTGTGGCCTCCTGCAGGCCAGCCTGGCCTCGGGGGATGAGCTCTTGTCCAGTGACATTGACCAAGGGGACAGCAGTGGCAGCAGTCCTCCTGGGCCTCCACCCCTTCTTGGGGGGCAGCCAGCTTCCAGGGGGAGGGGCTGGCTTGGCTTCAAGGGGGAGGACAAGGCAGCTACCCGGTCGCTGGTCAGCAGGTCTTGGCGTGAGCCTGTCTTGGCCCTGGGGGCCGATCAGCAGACGCCTAGCACGTCTGCACGGTCAGAAGCTTTGCTGTCCCTTAGATCTGACGCTGCCCCCCTGGGCCAGAGCTTGTCCCTTCTAGGGCCAGTGTCTTCCAGAGACAAGATGCAGAGGCTTCTGCAGGGGCCAGCCCCCCAGGGCCCTGCCCCTAGTCTGCCTGGTGAGCCTCCGCAGAGCTCTGAGTCTCCTGGCTGCAGCATAGCTCCGCAGAGCCCCCCTGGAAGCCCTGGAGCCCCGCCACGCAGCCCTAGACGAAAGAAGAGGCGTGCTGCTGGAGCCAAGGGGGGTGGGTGCTTGAGTGCCCCAGGCTCTGCTCCCACCCAGCAGGGTTCCCTGCTGCTTGCTGAGGTCAGGCCCAAGGAGGGCCTTGGCCTGGCTGGGTCCAGGGGGAAGGGTCTCTCAGCTGGGACAGCAGAGCAGACAGCAGGAACCGGGCAGGATGCACTGTGTCCAGAGTCTGCAGCAGCCCCTGCGCAGGTAACCAGGCAAGGAATAGATCCGGATCTGTCTACACCTGTCCCTGCGACCAAGGAAGGTACAAACCTACTCAGCATGACCCCTGGAGCTGAGCTACACACTGTGTCCACACCTGCCCAGGAGACTCATCCAGATATCTCAATGGCTAAGTCAGATGCGGCTCTGTCTACACCTGCCTCCAAGTCTAAACTGGACACAGACCTGCCTATGCTAGGCCCAGTGGTTAAGCAGGAGGTGGATTTATCTACACTTGTTCTGCCTCACCTTGTTTCCAAGGCCCAATCTGACGTGGGTGTGTCTACACCTGCTCCCATTCCCCAGGCAGGGCCTGACATGGTGAAGGTGGAGGTTGCCCCAACGGCCAAGCCATGTTTGAGCCCTATTGTGTCTCCAGGAGGACACCGAGAGAAGCCCAGGGAGGAGCCTTCAGCAGGTGCCGCTGGCCATCACTCAGGGGAGCCCCCACTAGGCCCTGTCCAAGCACCCAGGAAGAAGAAAGTGCGATTTTCCATGGCTGTGCCCAGCCCTGAGGAGCCAGGTTCAGGAGAGACCTCAGGCCCACCTTCACCAGCCACAGCCCGGCCCTCATCCCCCAGGACAGCAGTGGGGGGCCGAGGGGAGCCTGGAGGCTGGGACGCCATGGCAGTTGGGCCCCGGTCTCCCCGGCCTCGGATCCTCAAACACCTGCCTCCCCCTTCCCCCTCTGCTTCAGTGGGGCCCAGGTCCAGGAGCAGCTTTGCAGTGACCCTCCCAGAGGCCTATGAGTTCTTTTTTTGTGACACTATTGAGGAGGAAGATGAAGATGCTGAGGAGGTGGCAGAAGCTGACCAGGCCCTGGCCGAAGTACAGTGGCCAGACATGTGTGAATTCTTCTTCCAGGACCGTCAAGCCCAGAGGTCTGGGCACTGGGGGGGCCACTCTGTGGCCCAACCCCCACAGGCTGAGCCAGTGCCAACCCTTCCACCTGGAGACCCTGTGCCCATCTCCATCCCCGAGGCCTATGAACACTTCCTCGGGGAGGACTCGTCGGGGGGCGTGCTGGAGCTGGCTGCCCTTCTCCAGCTACAGGCCACGGAGCCCCCCGGCTTGGTCCCCTGGGACATGGGGCCTGGCACCCCACCAGAGCCTACCCCAGACACAGCGGAGCAGTGCAGTCTGGCAGTCAGGCAAGCAGGTGCGTGTCGCGTGGGCCCCATGGCTGTCCAGGTCCTGGGAACATACTGTCCAGGGAGTTCAGCCAGGAGGGCTGCTGGGGCGGGGCAGGCTAGGACCCCAAGCCATGAGCCAGTGGGGGGGGGTGCTTAGGGATGACCTGGGAAGGATGGACTAGCTCCTGGCCGTCGCGGGATATAATCCAGGTGGGGCAGACTAGGCTAGACACCACAGCCACTTGGGGATTTGTCTGCACTGACCATCATTCTGTATCCAGGCCCAGATGACAGCAGTGACTTGCCGCCCCCCCCCCCCCCCCCCCCCGCCGCCTCTAGCATGGTAGACACTGGGACAGCTCCCACTCAGGCCTTGCTGCCTGCCAGGTCAGGCACGCAACAGACTTCATCTCACATTCTCCTTGGAAGATATTTTAGAAACCAGGAAATGGTACCCCAGAGGCAACCCGCTCAAGTCAGCTTGACTCAACTATGCCACACAGTACCCTGGGTCTTGGGACAGAGGTGTCATCGGGAAGATGTGACTCACAGCATATCTGGGACAGATGAGTCTGAGTGGAGCTGCCAGAGCACAGAGCATGCTTCTCTCTCCTAGGGGAGCCCCGAGATCCTCTCACCTCATTTACCTTCAGCCAGAATGACATGTGCCTGGTGTTTGTGGCCTTTGCCACCTGGGCTGTGAGAACATTAGACCTGCACACCCCAGATGCCTGGAAAACAGGTTTGGGGGCCCTGGGGGAGGAGCGGGCTGGTACCCAGGAGGACCAGTGGTGTCCAGTCTCACCTGCTGGGCCAGCAGGGATGAGGGGTGCATGGGGAAGCACAGATTTCTCCCGTGACCTTGCTCCTCTCATTGCTGACCCACTCCGCGCCCTGCTGGCCTCCTCTTGCCCTTTGAGGGCCAGGCCATGTGGGTAGAAGGTGGTGACCAGGCCGGAATGGAGCCGGCACTCAGGAGGCTTTGTGTTTCTCTTGCAGTCTTGTTGGCCAACATTGGTACCTTGTCTGCCATCCACTACTTCCGCCAGCAGATGGGGCAGGGACGCCCCAGCCGCAGCCGCAGCCCCAGCCGCAGCCGCAGCCCCAGCCGCAAACCCAGCTCTTAGAACCCGGGTTGGTCCAGGAAGACACAGGACAAAGAAACGGCCACAGGTGCTGAGGACGAGGTGCTGCCCTCAGGTCTTGCCCTTTGACCCCCATGTTCTGTGGAGTCTAGGGAGGAGCCAGTGTCCCTGGATTCCACCCAGAGGTCCGACCACTGACTAAGGCCAAGACTGTGCTTCCCACCTGGGAGGAGGGGGTTCTGGAAGGTGGCTAGGTAGGTGCTGAGCAAGGAGCTGGCTAGTAAGGCGGCCAGATCAGCTAAGAAAAACACAGGGTGCCAGTGAAACTTGAATTTCAGACATGCAGTATTTGAGATGTACTTATACCGAATTCTGTGTGGCTTATCTGAAATCAAATTTAACTGGGCGTCCTATATTTTATTGGGTTATCTAGTTACGGGAGAGAGGCAGGATAAGGGTCTGGAACCTAGAAGGTGTCAGGGCAGCAGGAAATCTGGGCACAGGGGGCAAGAGTAGGGGACTAGATGGCCTCCAGGCCGGAGGGGGTGTCCCGGGAACTCTCTGCCTTGTTGACAAGTGGGCTGGGGTAGTGAAAGCCTCTGAGGCCTCTGCGACCCTTAAGCCCCAAGGGCCTTGGCTCCTGCCTAAGACAGTGAGCAGGTGCCTGTAGGGGCGTGTAGGAGGGGGGCTCCAGCAGCCCCTGCAGGGTGGGGGTCCGTAGGGCAGAAGCCGGAGCCCCTCCTCTGGGGAACCCTGGACGAGGTGCAGAGGTGGAACATGGTGGTGTCACATAAAGGGATTGGACATTTGGGATTGTCCCAAGGCTTTGAGGAGCCAGAGATGGGGCAGGAAGGTGGGTGGCAGAGCAGTGGAGGCCACCAGGCTGGGTGCCAGGTGGGCATGGGCACAGGGTCCCCAGGATGGGGGACTCCTGACTGCTGAGTGGAAAATGCATGGACACACAGCACAAATAAAGTCTTCTCTTTCTTTCCTGTTTAGTCTCGTAGTTTCTCCTGACCAGCCGCAGCCTACTGACATTCACCCAGAATACCCTTCTCTCTCTGCTCGTGACGTCTCTCAGACTTCGCTGACCTCCCTGCCCTCGTGCTCTCTGACCCTCACTAACCTGACCTTCTTCCCACCTGCGCCGTTCTCCCACCGCCAGGTAAAGCCTGCGTCGAGTGGCCTCCCTCAGTCCTTCCCTGGAGGAAAGGGTGAAATTTGGTCCTCCTACGAGGCCTGCTCTGATCTGTGGTGCAGCCATGTCGTCAGGCCATCTTCAGTATGATGCTCTCCTCCCGGCCCCTCCAGAGCCCAGGGAAACTCAGAGTCCTGGAGAACCCTTCACCCTGCTGGGATCAGACACTGACTCAGCACTGGATGGGGTTCAGGTATCGGATGTCGGTCGGCCTGTGGCCCTACATAGAAAGACCAAGGCTCTGCTGCAACCCTCCACTCCAGGGTCCGTGCTGGCAGGGGGTCCTGAGAACCGGTCACCCAGAGGCCATCAGATCCACTGGATGAGCCCCCCCCCCAGCCTCAGGTCCTCCTCGGGGCCACCGCTTGTGGGAGGGAGATGAAGATTTGTCCCAGATGTTACCAGAGCTCTTGGGGGGATGGCCACCTGGTGAGGAGGGCAAAGACAAAGACGCCTGTGCCTTCAGGAAGCAATACCCAGAGCTCCCTCAGAAAGAGGCAAGGGCCCTCACTCACCTGAGGGGGGTGGCAGGGGGTCGGTTGAGACTTTCCTCGCTGGGGAGACCTGGGGACCCCAACCACAAGTCTGAGCCCTGGGCCCTGGGGGAGGAGGCTTGGAGACCAGCCCCCGAAGCTGCCAGACCCTATAGCCCTACCTTTTCCTCCTGGCTGTGGATCTTCCCTTCTGGCCTCTACCCGCCCCCACCCCCTCCCAGCGCTGCTTCCTGTCTTTGGTCTCAGCTCGCCCTGTCTTCCTGTTTCCTTCTCTCCTGCTCCCCCAGGGCCCCAGAGCCCCCACACTATTTCCACCCCTCCACAGAACCCCTTACCCGGCAGGGGTGGGGGCGGCTACTCACATGCGGAGGGGAGTCTGGGGGTGGTGGCCCCCGGCCCTTGATGGAGCCTCGGTGCCGCTGAGAGGCTCTGGGCTGCAGGGCTCCCTTCTTGGAGAGCAAGTGGGGACTGGAGAGTCCAGAGCTGGGGTCAGCGGCAGGCACAGACACAGGGACCGAGGGGAATGGGCTCGAGGATTCAGGTCCAAGTGAGCTCTGCATTGCGCTGAGGAACTGCCAGGAAAGGGGTGGGGACCTGAGGCCCTGGACCAGAACCTCCAGGGAGCGGAGGGATGCCTGTCCCCAGAACCCCCTGGCCACTCCTCATGACCTGAGCAGACCTCAGGCTGTGGACACATCTAGCCCTTTCTGTCACCCACAGGGAACTGACCTCATCCAGGCCCTGGACGTCTGTGATCTTGTGGTAGGAGATAGCAGGTGGTGTGTAGGGATCAGCATAGAGTGGGGAGTGTGGGGTCTTCGGAGGGTGGTCTGGGGCCTCAGGGTCGTCCTCTAGTGTCTGTCTGCTCAGCTGCAGGCAAGAGGCAGAAGAGACAGGTTTCCTGGAGCTAGAGGTGGCCCGAGTCCTCCCTTCTCTGTGCAAGAAGGCCTCTAGGTGGCTCCAGGACCACCTTGGCCTGAGAGATGGAGGCCAGGGAGGTGGAGGGTGGGAGGGAGAACTGGGTCAGTGTGCTGGGCCCACCTTGGTCAGGTCCAAGTACAACGAGGTGGCCAGGCTGGGCCCCTCACCCCGGGCCTTACTCCTGGGTGACCGGCTGATGCTGCTCCATCTCAGTTCTGCCCTCTGCCTGCTGACGCTGGTGCAGCCAGGGTTGGCCTGCTCCTGTGGGGACCAAAGACCTTTCAGAAGGTTCCCAAGGGCCCTCACCCACTCGGTCCTCTGAGGCTGCGCCCAGTTCCCTCCAGGTCCTGCCTGGGATGGGGTGCCATGGGGACCCAGGCAGGCTGCCCTCATGACCTCCTGCCCTTGTCTTCTGTTTGCCCCATCGCCAGCCCCTGATACTCACAGATACAGCCTGGGCAGGGCAGCGGGTGGTGGATGGCACCGAGGACTCAGGGGCAGAGGGGCTGGTGTGGGTGGAGGGGGGTGCTGGGCACCCCGAGTCCCGGCTGGTTTGTCCATCTGAGGAGAGTGACCCTCGGCGACCGCCCATGCCCTGGACAGCAGGGGGCCGGGAGCGAGGAGGTGAGACAGAGAGCAGGGCCCCTCCCCGTAACCACCCCTGCCCTAGACCTACCCTTCTGCCCAGAACGTGAGATGTGGGGGCAGTATCTCCCCCTGTTGGCCCCTCACCTGTGCGGACACGCGCGGCCCTGCGAGACTCTCAGGGCCAGCCGGAGGGGCGGCTCCGTCCCTGGGCAAGATAGTCTGCAGACACAGTAGCCAGTGGCTGTAGTCCTCATAGGTGGCACACAGCACGCGGATAGTGTTGATGAGGCGGCCTAGCACACAGACACCGTGAGGGGGGCCTGGCAAGCAGAAAGGTCCCTGCAAGGCCCCACTGAAGAGCTGGGGCACCCACCAGGCTCATGCCCTCCCTCCCAAGCCAGGCCTCTGCCCACCTTCGATCAGGAAAGAACGGATCTGCTTCTCCTTCTCCTCCAGGTTGATGCAGATAGCGCTGAGTGGGAGCTCCCCCTGTGGGCGCAGTGATGGAAGATGGGGCCTGAGTCTGGGGGCAAAACCCTGTGCCTCTGCCTGGGCCCATACTTCTGTCTCACCCTCCAGAGCTGGGCTGGGCCTTCAGATGGCAGGCAGAGGGCAAGACAGGGGGCAAGACAGGGCTGAGGCTGACATCCATGAGGGGGGCCGGCGCTCCCTGTCGGTCCTGAGGGATCTCTTTACCCCTGGGCTCTGGGTGGGGCCTTCATCAGCCAATGGCAGGCACAGATGGATACCTCTGGGGACCAGTCCACTGGGTCACCTACTAAGACTGGGGGTAGGTTGGGAAGGAATTATGGGGAACACTCCTGCATTTTTCTCCGTGACTGAGGGCCATGATCACCCCCAGAGTAGAAAGTTACTGTGATGCACACAACAGACACACTCCAGCCCCAGAGGACCCTCCTACACACACACACACACACACACACACACACACACACACACACACACACACACACACGCCCCTCAGGCACCAGGAAAATGTCCACTCAGAGGTACAGGCCCAGCACAACAGTGTCTCCCAGGAGTGGTTCTGCCCCCATGCCACCTGCCCCAGGTGATGGTCCTGCTGATGGTGGAGGACCCTCTAGGATGATAAGGGATATTTATGCAGGGACCCCTCCTTGGCCACATCACAGCTGAGACCAGACTGACCAGGGCAGCAGGCCGGGTGGGTGGGGCCAGCACACTGTCTCAACAGGCCCCGAAATACAGGTTCCTCCTGAGCCACTGCCCTCTCCCACCCCCACACACAGGGCGTTTCCCGGGCGGGTCCACAGTGGGGAGGGACCCACCTTAAAGCAAAGCCCCTCTGCTTCTTCGGAGAAGATAGCCAGGGATGTTGGGTACAGGACCAGGAGCCGGTCCCATTGCTCCTGTGAGGGGGTCAAAAGGCAGAGTGGGGGCTCCACCAGTGTGTGTGAGGGCCTGGCCCCCACTTGCCTCCTGAACCCCTCCCTCATCTCCTCACCCCTTGGGCCACCACCTCCTCACCCCTCCCCCATCTCGGCGCCTTCCCTCATCTCTTCCCACTTACCGTGTGCCTCCACATCCTCAACCCCTCCCCCACGTCCTCACCCCTCCATCTCCTCCCACCCACCCTGTGCCCCCATGTCCTCACTCCCATGGCCCCATCTCCTCTCACCCCTGGGTACCGCCTCCCCCCCGCCCCCATGCACCTGTGAGGGCAGATGCTGCAGCTTGACCCTCGAGGCACAGACGGCGCTGCCCACCATTTGATGCCCTGATGCCTTCCGTAGCCGGGTCAGCCTGCGCTGCAGAGTCCAGGGCAGCTCGTCCTCAGGGGGGCCCTGGCGAAGGGGGGTCAGGGGCAGCGGAGGGTGTTGGCACAGAGGGGACAGGGAGGGGGTGTGGGGGTTCCCAGGACTGACCTGCGGGGGCGCTGAGTGGCAGTGCTGCAGCCCTCCCACGAGGGCTATCTGCTTTTCCAGGTGGTACAGCCAGAGGCCCAGCTCAGCCTGGCTGGGGCAGAGCACATGAAGGGGAGCAGGCAGCGGGCCTGGGGGTAGAGGGGTGGAGTGGGCTGGGCCTGCAGCCCACAGGAAAGGTCCCACTCAAGGGTTCCATGGGCACCCCAGGGCCTGGAACAGGAGGACCCTGTGGCACCATCTGGGACCATCGGCCACTAACAGGGCTGCATTCACAGCTCTGGAGGTCTCCTGGCCGCTGTCCTGCACCCCAGCTTGGCAAGTGCTCATCTGCCCACTGGAGGAAAAGCCAGGATCCCTCAGTGCACTCGGGGTCCCTCCAGGGTTCTGAAGCTCAGCCCGAGGCCAAGGCCACTGAGCAGCCCCAGCTGAGGCCCCTCCTGGGGGCCAGGTCCACTCATGCCCCCCACACACCTGTGATCTGGAAGGCATGCTCTCTGGACCCCTCAAGCGGGCAGACACTCAGCTCCATCAGTGGTAACAGCCCCTGCCAGAGCACACGGGGGAAGGGGGACCCCTAGTGAGACATGGGTACCTACCTCCCAAGAGGCTGCTCTCTCCCTCTGCCCCTAGACTCCTCCCTTTGCCCCTTTCCCTTCACCTGGAAGGTGAGTCCTTTGGAACCATGGGCCTGGAAGTAGAGGTAGGAGGGGAACAGCTCCAGATAGCAGTTGCTGATGTCCTGGGGGAGAGCAGGGCGGCTGATCTGAGGGGCTGGGGGCCAGGCCCCAGGCTGGTACCCAAGCACCCCCGCCAACGCGGCCCAGCCTGGCCCCACCTGGCTATGCTGGAATCGTAGCTGGACCTTGGCATAGTGTACAACCTTGCCCAGATTCCTCACGGGCACCCTCCGCCGCCCCTTCTTGAACACACTCAGGAACGGCTGCTCTAGGTTTTCTCGCTGGCTCTCCAGGCCCCGGATGTCCTGTGGGGAGCAGAGCTTGGGGGGGGGGGGCGCTGACCTGGGGCCAGCTGCCCCACCCATACACACACCCACAGTTACATAATACAAAGGTTAGGAACATACACACACCATCACTCATAGGTACAGAACCCCAATACGCACTCACAGCCTCTTAATATGGAAATGGTGGCAGAATACACATGTCATAACATGACATGGTCTAGTGTAGAGGTGGCGAAGGCTGAACTCAATGGACATTCGACCCGTATTTTTGATATTTCCTAACCCGTGCGCCTGTGTTTTGATTATTCAGCCTCCCAAGACTTGTTGGTCAGAGGGGTTTTTGGGTGTCTGAGGCAGATGATGCTCAAAGCTCTCTCATGCCTCTAGTGCTGGCTATGTGTTTAATACCTGGTTTCACAGGGTGGTGGTGGGGGGGTGTTTCCATGTTAATAGTCCCACTATGGCCCATTTCAAGCTACCAGCACATCAGTTAATGGGGAGCTGGAAAGAGATGCATCACATCAGCCCTTGAGAGCCTGTGCCGACTGCGTCAGGCCCCTTAACCTCACCCACAGAGAAGGCCAAGGCCTTGGCAATGGCCCGAAGGGTCCTCTTTGCCCATATCAGGCACAGGCTGCCTTGGGGCCTTTATACTTATTCCCTCTGCCCACACCACTCAGTCCCATTCTCTTCTCACCATCAGGACGTGGCTCGGATGTCACCTTCTCCGTGAGGTCCTGTCTGGATAACCTAACACTGTAGCCTTACCTGACCCCTCTGCACACCTTTCTTCCTTCATTTTTCTCCACACTAGCCACTTCTGGCTTATTGTATCTTTTACACACTTATCACCTGGCTCTGTCATGGAGATGGGGCACCAAGAGAACAGGGTCTTTGTCTGTTTTGCCCACTGCTGCATCCCCAGAATTAGGCCAGGCCTGAGATGTGCTGGGGCTTCGATGCCTGTCTGCTGAGGGGAGGGAGTGTTGGGGCCCACAAACACTTAGCCAATTTTGCCACACAGAGAACCCTCTCTAACTGGGGGCTTGATCATCAGATTGGATGTCAGATAGGGATGGGTACTGACCTGACACCCTGGCTAGAAGGGCTGAGGTCTAGGGGCTCAGGGGTGAGTTGGGGGAGGGGCCATGCTCCATTTGGGTGCTGGCAGGGGCTGCCTTGAGGGCTGCTGAGCCCTGGCCAAGCTAAGCTGCCCCTTGGGCAAGCCCAGGAATGTGAGGCTTCCCTGCCTCTGGGTGGGGCCTCCTGTACCCACACCCAGTGTGGGGAACAACTCAGGGATGGGACCCATGAAAAATAGGCCATGAACAGGAAGGGCCATGTAGCTGTCCCTGTGGCCCAGGCTCAGCCTTAGGGCCTAGGGAGGAGTCAGCTCAGAGCCTTGGCAGGGCTGGCTCATTTGTAGGTGCAGAACCCACCACAGGGCAGGGCCTAAGAAGTGGCTCCTCCCCTGGCGCCCCCTCCCCTCCCAGGTTCAACAGGCCTGCTCCCCTCTCCTGCTACTATGTCTTGGCAGGTGAGGACCACCGGGGCCACCACATCTCATGCAATTCCACCAGGGTCACATGATGTGTCCTGGGTTTGGACAGAGTTGAGGTCTGAGATGCAGTCACATGGAGGGACTCTATCCCAGCCCAGCCAGACCCTGGACAGAAGTGCCCTGTCCACCTCTCTGGGGCAGCATGGTTTCTCAAACCAGCACTTGCCTGCAGGGAGCCCTGGGACCTCAGAGGGCAGGAAAGGGGACAGGCCTGGGCTTCCCAGCCTGATGGGAACTGGTTGGAAAGGTGGGCTCTGGCAGCCCCCACCAGTTGCTAGGCCTCAAAGGAACAGCGTGAGAAGAGTGCAGGGTGGGATCCCTGACCCAGAGTGACAAATGTTCCTCCTTCTCTGGCCTGGGGTAAGATATTGGGGTATCATTTCCCTCACATTCTGGGGCTTTTGCAGATAGCAGAGCCTCCCACCATACCCAATGCCATCCAGGTTAGGGAAAAGGGCTGGGTGTGTCTCCCCTCTCAGCTAACCCTTAGCCCCTCAGGAGCTGGGCAGGGTGAGAGGGGGTGGTATTTGGCTCAGAGGTAGCCTAGCATGTGGGAGCCATGTCCTTGCTGTGTGGCCTTGGTAGGGGGGAAACCACAGCAGGCTGCTGTGGAATGAGGCAGTGGTGGATGCCAAGACACCCCCTGGGAGAAACTGAGGCCTGGGCTGGCTCACTGTTCACCTGAAGCCCTTACTCTCTCAGAGTGATGGCAGCCACAGCAGCACAGCTGTATGTGCTTGGTCCACCTCGAATGTGCCTGGGCGTGCTGTCCCGCACCCAAGTCCAGGGCGGGGGTGGGCACACACCCCAGGTATGGCTCTGAGTGGATAGCCTGGCCATGGTGCCCCCTCTGGTGTAGCAGAGACTGCGGGAGGCCCCGCCTGCGGCCCGCCCCTGCCGGGCGCTCCCCCACTGACTCAGTGGCTGGCAGTTTCACTCTCTGCTCAGACTTTCGGCCAGATGAGCTCCCCAGGGCGGGGCAGTGTCTACTTCCTCACTTCGTGCTGGGTCTGACTCCCACCCAGGCTGACAGGGGAAGACCCTGAGTTGAGTGAAGATAGGGCAGGCACACACAGTCACACAGAGACCACCGCCACCGCACCCCTGTGAGCTGGGGCACGCCCACCCGCCTGCTCACCGTCCCAGGGATGTAGTAGAAGATCTTGTCAGCAGTGGCGTCCAGGTCAGGACCGGCCTCGGAGCCAAACAGGCCAGCCAGCTTCCTTGCGCCATCCTCTCTGGGGACAAGGGAAGGGGGGCTCACAGCCTGGTCCCTGAGGCAGACTGAGGGACACCCCTGTGACCTAGGGACCAAGGCTGGGCTCCCCACCCCCTCACCTATTTCCCTTCAGCGAAGGCTTTCTGGAGAAGGACGCCCGGAGCCTCCTAGGGGCCTGAGGGACGCAGTGGCTGTTCCCCATGGGCGGCGGTGGCGGCGGGCCCAAGTTGAACAGGTCGACCGGTCTGGGTCCCTCTGTACTGAGCCTCCTGTCCCGCCTCCCAGGCGGAGCTCTGGGAAGTCTTGCCCTATGCCTGAGGGCCGGACGAGGGTGGAGCCTTTCCGGGAGGGACCCGGCCCTCACCTGGGCCGAAGCGTTTCAGTTCTCCGACCTGGGTCCCCCACACATTCAGGCCAGGCTGGAGTCGCTGTGGGGTGGGGGTGGGGGGTGGGGAGGAGTCTTCTCCCCTGGGCCAGCCAAGAAAACCCATCTCAGCCTCCAATCTGTATGGGAGGAGCCTCAAAGACCTGGTTTGTGAGTACTTGGCCGGCCGCACTCGGGCTGGGGTTGCCTGGGGTTGCCTGGGGTTGCCTGTGGCTGGAGCTCTGTGAGCCTAGGGCTCCCTCCTCCCAATACCACCACTCCCCATGGAGAGCATACATCCTGTTTCCACCTAAATGCCACGGTCTCAGTCACCACTGACTGCAAGGGGGTGTGTGCTCGCTCTCAGCTGCTAAAACAGGAGTTTATAACTTTGGGGAAGGGGAAGCCAGGACCCTCCCCCAACCTCTCCTGCTTCAACCCAAACCTCACCCCAGGCCAAGGTCCAAGAAGGAAGCCACGAACCTCCTGGGTGCACCCAGGACCATCATGGTGAGGTAGGGGTAGTACTGTGCACTCCCCTCTCTCCAGAGCCTGGGATGAGATGGGACCACGAGGGCCTCTCAGGACCAGGCTGACAGCGAACCACACTCCTGGTTGGGTGCTCATCCACGACATCACATCCCTGACCCACCTGGACGTGATGCTGCTGCCTCAAAGCCCCCAGATGCCAAAGCAGAGCCTCAGCCCAGCTGCACACCTGTCCCCAGGCCCTCCTGGTCACCCCAGATAAGACCCCAAAGGGTGGAGATGTACACTCAGCCTCAAGCCCACAGAGCCCAAGAAACATGTTTATTGTTCAAGTTGGCTCATATTGCTATCTGGGGTCTGTGGCACGCTTGTGCTCAGCTCAGTGCAGGATCGAGAAGAGACACCATGCCCAGGAGAAGGAAGCTTGCTTCATGTCCTTCTTGGGAGCGTGCCTGGCTGGGCAAGGTAGGGGTGGTGTGCAAAGCCCAGGCTGGAAGGGTCTGCACCTGCTCAGAAAACCCTCACCCCACTAACCCTGGCCTGCTGCTCTGTACCTGCCCCCTCAGTCCCTCCAGGTCTACAGAGTCTGAGTTCGCCTCTGACCCATGCGCAATGCAAGTGTCCACCCCCATCGCTCCTTGGTGCCCCCAGTGGAGCAGGAGGACACCTGGGAAGGCAGCTTGGTCCCAGAGACACAGGACACTTCAAGGGGAAACGTGTAAACTAGTTAGTGCTGCGCTGCTCACCGATCAATAAATAATAAACAAACAAACCAGTAAGTAAATAAATGGCACACACATAAACAGACACTGAGAAATGAACACAGAAACGGACGGTCTCGACGCAGAGACAAGGACAGACAGGGAGGACTTTCCTGGTGGGGGCCGAGCACCCCGCCCCTGACACGTGAGGCGCTGGGGCCGCCCTGTGGGGCTTAAGGCATGTAGGAGGCCGCGGGGCCGGGCCTCTGGTGCAGTCCGCGCCGCGGGTCAGAGGCTGGTGGACGACACGGACAGCGTGGGCGAAGAGGGGGGCGGGAAGTTGAGCAGCTCGAGCACTGCCACGCCCACGCTGCTGCGCCGCGTGAACATGCAGGACGCGGCCACCCACTTGTTGGTCCTCGGGTTGTACTTCTCGATGGAGTTGAGGCTGGAGCTGCCATCGTTGCCCCCCACGGCATACAGCCAGCCGTCCATGGCCACCAAGTCATGCGTACTCCTGGGGGTGGGGTGGGGTGGGGTGGGGGGTGGGGAGGGGGGCGGTGAGCCGTGGGGGCGGGACTCCAAGAGCCTCCGGGGGCGGGGCCACGGGAGGAGCCTCCGGGGGCGGGACC